AAAAAAGATTTTCGGCGGGTCTTTAATCCGTAGAAGTCTTATAGAAGATCTTCTGTTTAAAAATGTATTATTATATAGAAGGCGAGAGTTCGTATGCCTATTAAAGATCTGAAGGAGGATTTCTGCCTATAAAATACCTACAGAAGTTCTTATGTCTATGCTATAGCCCTATAAGTCATGCGGGAAGTTTTCTGCATATTTAAGGCCTACAGGAAAGTTTCTACATATAAAAGCGTTAAGTCACTGGCCTAGAATATATGCCCCTCTATATATATATATTTTTTTTTTTTTTGAATTTCCCATTAATTATTTTTTGTGTTGAAGAGTGTAATTATATGTGTTGCCATCTGTCTATAGAATATATTTTCTGTACTAAGAAGACAAGTTGAAGCTCATCAATTTATTGATGATCTTCCGGTAGTCTTCTATTTACATATGTTCTAAAGAACCCCCCCTCCACAAAGGGTCAAAATTTTAAAAAATTATTGATCAAATATGAAACAAATGAAATGTCCGATTAGATCCGAACTTTGCACATTATAATCTTTTTCACCAAACCTAGAGCAAGTTACTTAATATTTTTTCCTTAACTTCCCCAATACCTCTCGTATGTCTTTTTTACATTTTTAAACTATTCGGTAGATCGGTACAATGTTGTAGTTCCCTTTTAGATAAGCATTTCTTTGTTTTTGCTGATTTTTATTGTTGCGAACGAAATAAGTAGTTTTGTTGCTATTTATGGGGGAATACTAAATCAAACAAATAAAAACAACAACAAACACCAAAACAGTGAGTAAATCACAAATTGAATTTGAGCAATAAAACGATTCTCTAAATAAACAAACGGTATTTCTATTTTAACAGTTGACGGCTACATAAACATTGAAGTGCGACGGGTGTTTTGATAATCTACCAATTAATTCAATTGTCCCGACACGAAGATAATGACGATGACTATTATCGAAGAAAATTATTAAAGTCAATTACCTTTTAATTTCGTGCGAATAGATTCCGATTTGAGTATTCTGATCAATGATCGTCGCCTAGCTTGCTTCGTTTCAGTTTCGGAACCATAAAATACAAATATTGATAAATTTGTTTCTGTTGTTTGTCATTATCAGTTGGTTGGTGGTTTGTTTTGTAAATATTTTGAGAAGGCAGTTTCGTTCAACATTCATTAAAAAAAAAAACAATAATAAATAAATTAAAAAACACAATTATGAAAACGTGTGTTTTATTCGGGATAGCTTTCAATTTCTTCTTGGAATATTTTTGTTTACATTTTTCAGCGATCTCATTGTTGGCAATATTTCTGTTAGGTTTTATTTCATTTTAAGAGAAAATTAATTGATATGAGTTGAAATTGAAACCCGCATAAGATTCCTATGTTTTTATTGTAAACAAATATTTCGGATTTCGGACAGTAAGAAAGTTTTTTGTATAGGCCTACTATTTGAGAACTCCGATACGTTTATTTTATTTTTTATAATTGAAACCAGATAATCGAAATACATAGACCGAAAAGTGCAATATTTAATTAAAATAGAAAATTTCCCGTAAATACGTAAAATGGAGAATTTTTTTCAAACAAATATCATATGTACGAACATTTTTTTCTTTTGTAACTTATGGTTAAATTTGACGTAGAATAATTTTGTCTTTAGCAAAGATGGAGTCTTATTGAAGATCTTGAAATGTTTCTGCGAGGTATACACTTTCAACAAAGAATTTGTTGCCAATATTGTTAATTTTAAACAGTAAATTTCAAAAAAAAAAAAACCTACAAAAGAAGATATATGTTGGAAATGTTACACATTATAACTGTCCCTGCAGAAAACCGTATCTACTTCAAGACGGATACGGAACACTGTGCATAAATATACTGGAGCAGTATTAAAAAAATATTCAAAAAAGTGTTGAGCAGGACAATTCAATGAGTGTGGAAGTCGAATAGTTTTAATAAGAAGCTTAAAATGTAACTAGTAACCAATTTTGGAAGTTTGTTAATATATGATGATGATCATCGACGATGATCGAAATATTGGAAAATTAAAAAAAAAATAATAATAAAAAACAAACAAAAATCTTTTTAATTTTCAATAACCTCAAGCCGAAAAAACGAATTTTAATAAGAAAAAATATTAATTTTAAATATGTAGTTTGTTCTGAGACTTATAGTGAAATTTGATGTCGAATATTTCTTTCCTTGACACTGTGCACGAAAAATAAAGTTTCATGCTACTTTCATACATTTTATCTAAAAAAGCACTGTAAATTTTTGTGAAGAAAATTGTTAAATATCTGGAAATTTTTGGACCTAAATTCAGATCTACATATTTCGTATAGTTATTATATCTACTGATTTCTCTTGTTCAGTAGAATTTGATGCGGAATATTTTTGTCTTTGGCACCATCGTTTTAAAACGACATCTAGTGGGGAAAAATGCTACAAAATCCGATCGGTTTTAACCCTATTTTAAGATTTTTTCACGTTTATGTTGATTTTCGAGTATTGGTCTATTCTTAGACTTAAGAAAAACTCGATGCCGAACATTTTGTAGAATATTCTGACCTCCTATAACCTATAAATGAGATTTCAATTATTGATGACAAAAAAAGAACCGAACCGATGATATAAAACCAATGTCAATCATATTTCCCAATTTTCGGATTCCAGCTATAAATGAGATTTCAATTATTGATGACAAAAAAAAAAGAACCGAACCGACCCCACAGAGAGCCCGATGTCAATCATATTTCCCAATTTTCGGATTCCAGCCCGATGGGCTTGTACCAAATTTAATACCATTTAGAACACATAAGTACGAATTTCCAAAACTTCCTACAAAGCCCAATCGTACACTCCAACAGTGATCCTAACTCCAAATTTCACCTTTGAACAGCGCTCATAAAATCTCGGTTTATAATTTTTCCGACCCGAAACCGTTTTCTTATATGGTAATATTGTTCTCTAGCATCGTAAATAACGTTTTCTATTATTATTTCCCGATTTCAGGATTCCAACCCTATCGGTTCACCCAAATCCAAATTGTGACAAATTTAGTACGTAATAGTACGAATCTCCAATACTTTCCAGAAATCCCAACCTACACCCCACCCAAGTGATTCTAAATTAAAATTTCTAGATTCCAGCTCTGTTGGTTCACTCATATCCAAATTTGGTACCATTTAGTACACATTAGTACAAATTTCCAAAACTTCCTACATATCCCAACCCTATTCCAGCGCTATCGGTTCTCCCAAAACTTAAAATGCACCAACTTTTTTTACATTAGTACAAATTTCCAAAACTTCCTACATAGCCCAATTCTACACCCCAACAGTGATCCTAACTCCAAATTTCAAGATTCCAGCTCAAGTTTTTAGCTCATACTACGGAATTGTACCAAATTTAGTACATTTTAGTACTTTTGGGACACTTATAGTTCTCATTTCAAAAAATCATTACACTCCATAAGTGATCCTCATTCAAAATTTAAGAATTCTAGCTCTATTGGTTCGCCAAATACAAATGGTACCACATTTAGTACTTTTCGTGGGAATTTCCAAAAACCCAGCCTTATCTAAGGGTGACCCTCAACCAACTTACAAGATTCTAGCTTCAGTCGTGTTGATGAATCGTTAAGCCAGTGAGTCAATCGCTTTACTTTTTTATTAGTATAGATATTACCAAAGACACCATATACCCAAAATGCAAGGGTTTTGAATCATAACCCGAATATTTTCAAATTTCTTGGAATGGCGAAATATTGCCCACGCTTTGTAGGTTACCTCTTGGCGTAAACTTTCAAAACGCCGATACTCATGTATTCTATTTTTAGTCCCTCTTTCAGAATTTGTTGAAATTTTCTGGTAATTATTTTTAGTGTTGCACAGTGTTATCGGATATTATCTGAAACGGATTTGTTTCAAAGAAACTTGAGGTCTAAAACCAATATTTCGATAAAAATTTTTGTCGCAGCAGAAAGAAAGTATGTACCATCATTCAATAACTATAAGGCTGAGGTTATAAAAATATAGTTATACATCGATTTCTATGACCAATGTTTAATTTTTCATAGGTTAGGTGGCATTGCGTGGAAGTTTGGGAACATTAACTTTGATTTATTTTTATATCCACTTTCTATTCGGTTTTTATATTTTTCGAGCCTCAATATGTTCTAAAGGATTCGAAACTAACCAAATTAGTCATGTGAAATGATGCCCCCTTCAACAAATCCAAATTATTTTCGTCTTCCCTTTATAAATGCTCTGTTCCCGAACCTGAAATAATTGGTCTATTCCCGTGCTGTAATAATCTACTAATTTTTACTATTTTCTTCGATACCATAAAGAAAAAACTTGTTATCGTAGTAAAAAATATTCGATTCTTGCAGGTTCTGGAACAGACCAAAGATTTAACTAATCGAAATGGTTTTCGATGTTCGCTTTAAAAATTTGAAAACATTTTACCACTCTTTAAAAATTCCAAAAAGTGAGTATCCTCTGTGATGCACTGTATTTCCTCTTTGTTTCATATGCAATGAATGCGAAATATCATTGTGCAGCACAATTCGACATATTCCTTTAATTCATCTGCCGACAAATTTATAACCCAAAGACCGATTCATTATTTTTTTTGTTCTTGTTAAACATACTCCTTTTGTTTATAAATTTTATTTTTAATTGGGATATGATAAACATGAATTGTATAAATTATCACATTCATTGTATAAATGAAAAAAAAAAAAATTATATTTTCATCTTAATATCAAGGATTTTTATTTTTAAAAAATCAGTTTTGTTAAATTAATGGATAAATGCAAAAAAAAAAACAACTGCAATTTTGTTTCCTTTACAAAGCCGATTTCTCGGTATTTACGCCTTCTTTGTACTCTTAGCAGTCGATGATAGAGTAGAACCATTTGTTTATAAACAAAATTGTATAAAACCCATTTTTTTCTTTTTTTATTCCAGCTGGCCATAGAATCATCACCATCATCGTGTCACAATGCAGTCGGTAAAACCAAATGAATTACCGCAAAATCCTTACGAGCGTACAAATATATTGGCTCGATTATGTTTTTGGTATGTATGAATTTAAAATACTTTTTATCGTTTTCGAGATGTCCGAAGTATTTTATAGCTATTGGAGTTATTTTGACAACGAATCAAATAGAAAATCTTTTATTTACTCATCATCAACAAATTTCTAAAATATGTTGCTACGTTTCTATAGGTACACACTGCCAACATTTTTTAAGGGACGTAAAAAAACTCTGGATACCAAGGATCTCTATCGGGCATTAAATGAACATAAATCTGGTAAGTTTATTATTATTTTTTTCTAACATCGAAAACTTTCAGATACCTTGTCGGTATAGCGAACATGAGAAACTGTCGAACCTAATTTAAATAGAATACCTTCACAACATAGTAGTTCCATGTCATCTGAACAGATTTCTACAACAGATTTCTCATTGATCAGGTTGATTTCGTCTAAATATTTTCACTTTTTCAGCACTGAACTCTTATTGTTTTTGTGTAAATTACATTCCGCTTACAAAAAATATTGAATCAAATCAATAGCAGATTATTTTATGCATTGCTACAACATTTAATTGATTTCAATTGATTGTAACGTCATTGTGCCACATTGTCCGATAGACAACAAAGCAAAGTCAAACTGAAATGGAAAAATGTGACAAAGACAGGGCCGTAGTAGACAATGAATCGAACGACGAATATTTCTACTTACATACATACGCGTATATACATCGGTGCATTTACAGCTGTAATTAAATGGTAATAAAACAAATCAATTGTAGTTGATCGTTGTAGCGATATGATCACAAGGGGTGTAAAAAATACGGTCAGCACAATATGATTTCTCATGAGTCGTGAAAATAGTGGGAATAACATTTTTAAGTTTGAAAATGTGTAAAATAATACGTTCTCATGCGAATTCTGTTGTAAGGGTATTACAAGTTTGTGTGGCCCCAAGAGTTTCTAATGCCACGAAATATTGATCCGAGACCATCGATTTGCTGAGTCGATATATAATTGTAAACAATGCACGGGACGGAGATATTTACCATGTAGCCTAAGTTCTGACCAAAGATGACACCTATATATTTTGGTAATGATCGAAATGGACCAACAACTTTTATAGTCTCTACTATAGCTGATTGTTCAACATTCAGCTGGTCAAGTGGACCTAGACTTTTGTGTGAATAAATAACAAAAATTCCATTGTGGGATGCGGTTATGCTATAATATTTACTGAGGCCTATTTTTTTGTCGATAAAATCCAGCCCCTAGGATAATTCTATGGATAATTCTACGCAACTTTGTTGGAGGAACCATAGGTCTATCTCGATTTTCCAGTCTTTATTTTTACCTTTCCTCCACGTGAAGACATAGTCCGACCCTATAAAGTATATAGAAGTTGTCATTATTCAAGGAGAGTTGTTAACCAATATCCCTACCAAAAATTAATATTCGCCCCTTTTTGGCACAGTCCCCATCTAACCCCTTTTTTATATTAAAATAGTAATAGTTATCTGATTTGTTCCGCGTTTTGGGTTTGGTTCTAAGACTCTGTTGTAATCATTTCACCTGCGGAGGATATCGAGATATAAAACTAGAACGTAAGGTTCGATAATGAAGTATAGCCCGGATTTAGGCGTAGGCCTACCCCCTGTGTTGGACGTACCAGAAGGAGTGGACCGATATTTCCCATCTTCGAACTTGACCTACGTTTGGAAGAAATAATAAGATAGGCAAAGTTTGGATGAAATCAAAATTTTCTGAAACGGATTTGATCCATAGCAACATGTCTCTAGAACCAATATTTCGATGAGGCACATTTTCACTGTATCAAAGTATATATACCCTCATTAGCCATAAAGCTGAGGGTATAAATATCCATTAAAATTGCTGAAATTTGTATTTGGTATAAATTATCAGTATATCTATGGTGGAGGGTATCCAAAGTTCGGCCCGGCCGATCTTAACGTTTTTTCGCTTGTTTTTATCTAGACCACAGGCAGAGGGCGTTTCATACATATTTTATCTAATTTTCGTCTATTTTCTGAAAAATATACAAGTTTTTCGGTAAAATTGATAAAAAAAATTCATTTTGATTAAAAATGATGTTATTGGAAAAAAATCATTTTTTTGAAAAGTGAGGGACTCGAAAATAGAGATAGACCAAAGTTGCTTATAATTGTCCATAGAATCATCCTAGGGGCTGGTTTTAATCGAATTTTTCGGCTCCAAATTGTCCCGCCCTAGCCTACATATTTCAATATTATTTTGTATTGCCATTATTACACTAGAGGTCGAAATTGTCGTGCCGATCGTTGCGAAATTTTGCACGAAGTTCCGATTATGGCCAAGTTAAAGAATGGGTAATGTTTTGGCAGATCAAATGGACTAACAAATATACCACAGCTATTGTTTGAAGACTACTAAATTAAAAATGGGTAAGGGAATCTGGTCAACGAAAAAGCATTTCTGTTTTGATTATGATTGTTTAATATTTAACTTATCAAATTGACCTACACTTTTGCGAGAATAATACAAGAGTATCATTCTATTGCGTATTTGTAAGGTGGTCATACGTCCTTTTTTCTAGAGGACAATCATTTATTTTAAATGGCTTTAGTTATATATTACATGTAATATATTAGGTTCCGTTCAGGAATTTTTGATGTTAAAGATATGTACACCTCGCACAGTTAGGCCGGTTGTCGAAAATGTCGATAAAATCGGAGAAATTATCGAAGTTGACCGGCATGTTAGCAGTCGTAACATCGCCCAGGAGCTTAAAATCGACCATATCTGTTTTAAACCATTTATACATAAACAAAATAAAAATAATAATAATAATTTTTCCCCAAGCTAATATTTAAGCCTTGATCAATATTTAGCTGAATTTAAACATATATGTGTACTTCCTCTCTTATTGTCGTCTTTATGAGGAAACATTTAGATTTTTGCGACACTCTTTGTTTCAGATCCTGAAATAATAGTTTATTAATCGGAATGGTTTCTAATTATAAAACAGAGCGAAAAATATGGTATATTAAAGAAGGCTTAGGAATCTTAAAAGTATTTACAATAAACGATAATAAATAATACAACAATATTGCTATATGAAACTTTTTTTTAGATATTGATTTATGCTGTTTACCATTTTTACTCGGCCACATTTCTCGAATGAAAAGTTTACAAAGAGAACACCATTTTGTTTTATGCTCTCTTAAATTTTGTTCAATGTTTTACCAGTTTTGTGGGTTCAGGAACGGGTTTCGAGTAAAAAGTTGCAAAACTTGTAGATTAGTATATTCTTTTAGGTTCTGTAATTGTAATATATGGTCTGTTCCCGCACAGCAAGAATCTACTAGATTTTACTATTTTCTTCGATATCATAAAGGAAAAATTGTTCTCGTAGTAAAAAATTGTACAATCTTGCAGGTTCTGGAACAGACCACATATAGCAAAAATCTACTAATTTTTACTACTTTTCTCGATATCATAAAGGAAAAATTGTTATCGTAGTATAAAACGATGACACAATTTTCTTTTTTTCTTGATGTCATATGTGGTCTGTTCCCGTACTGCAAGAATCTACTACTTTTTACTACGATAACGAATTTTCCTTTATGTTATCGAAGAAAATAGTAAAATCTAGTGGATTCTTCCAGTACGGGAACAGACCAATGTTTTAAAATAAATTGTTTAATTTTTTCTTGATGTCATCTATTTACATTTACAAATATCTGGGACAATAGTATCGAAGTTGCCCATGTACGAAAAAGGATCTGTTACTTTTATGCTAATATTCACCATATTGATGTATGTGGGTCGGATATGGGATATATTAACATATAAGGTTCTATATATTATTATGTCTTTTAGTATTATTAGAGGCGCATATATATGTATATATATATAATATATATATAATATAGTGCAAATACCTAGGTATTTTGACCCGATATAGACTCGATATTTAGAATGGAATATCCTATTTAATACCCTTTTCCTTTTGAGAATACGCATAGAATCACTTTCTGAGTCGATTTATGAATGTCCGTCCGTCTATACGTCTGTTGATGTTAAATTGTAAACAAAGTACAGGTCGCATTTATAATTCGATTTGGATGAAATTTGGCACATCTCATTTGTTTGGCCCAATGACGAACCCTATGAAAATTGGGAAAAATTGGTTCAGATTTAAATATAGCTCCCATATATATTTTCGTCCGATTTAATGTAAATGGTGCACTAAATACCCTATATATATTTCGATTTGCACGAAATTTATATAATCTAACCTGTGACAAGTTTCGTTGAAATCGGTTCGTATTTGGATATAGGTTCCATATATATTTTCGTCCGATTTTAATAAATTGAGCATCAAACTCCTCATGTTTGTCAGATTGACATCAAATTTTGCATAACGTACAAAATTGAACATAGAATAACGTAGTTGCGTTCTCTAGAAGTACAGACATAGCCCAACGGTTGACCCATTGATATTTGTTTGAAGTCGATTTACATACTTTTGTCCCATTGTAACAAGCGAATGGCAGGTTTATGGATAGATCTAGGTCGAATCACATTTAGATAAATATCACATATTTTATTTCATCCAATTCCATGATGATAGTCCTATTTAATATACCCATAGTGGTGAAGGGTATCATATAGTCGGCCTTGCCCGACTTTACTGCTTTCCTTACTTGTTTTATATTGATTTTTTATTACAGATATTGGGAGCACAACGCTTCAACAAAGCATCACCGTCTGATTCCATTAGTTCTTCAGTCAGTTTGTTTTCATTTCAGTTTAGTAAATGATTGGTCTGATATAACCTGTCCTATCTTATGGGGCTGCCATCTATCGTTGCCTAGAAACAACGTCTTCTTGTTTCTTGTGTGTCGTGGTTGGGTTTTTGCATCGGCTAACAATCTTGAACGACCAGATTTGAAACATTTGGATAATAAATTTCATGTTTTACGTACAATTTTTAAAATATTATGGAATATTTTTTATTTAAAACTATTGTTCGATCTTCAATTTTCATGTTTATTTTTCTCATAAGCTTTGATAATTCATTAGTTACAAATTAATTATCAAATCTTATTTTTATAAAAGTGCAAAAAATGTATTTTGGAAATCGCACTAACCAAAACTCAAAAATTAATATAATTATAAATTGATACTTGTAAGGTAACTTAAATGAAAACGAACTAAAGTATACGAATTGCGATATGTTTCGATCCTTTACGATAACCAGACTTGTAATTGATATA